TTCAACTGCTACATGCACGTAGCTTACCCAGTTCTTTACTGATTGTGGTAAAATTGATAGCATGTTTGACGTTGAGGATGATCTGGCCATACAAGGGACCTGCATATGGTGATCTCCTTTACAATTTGAAATGAATTCTTCCCAGGTATTTAAAATTTTCTTTATAATATGTTTTTCCTTTAATTATAATTTGTTTTCTCACAGCAGCAGCAACACCATTTTATTGTTTAAATTCAACTTAAGGGTATATATATATATATTCACACGAGTCACACATTTTTGGATTCCTAGATGCGTATGAAACAATATATATTTGAAATATGTAGCCTTATCTCCCTGCAAGTTTTTTGGAGTACATTCTGTAATTGTTACGTTGGGTTTCTAAGATTCTTCAAAAAAACTACAAAACTAACTATGCAACAAAAAGTTTTTATACAGATATGTTCTCTATGCATTCATCATTTGAAATTGAACAATAATTGTTTGATGAACTCTTAAATACGTCATATGTGGCTTTCTTTGAAGCAAACATAAGACAAATTAAGCTGAGGAGACATTGAAACGACTCCTATCAACCAGATTCTAACTCAATGTTTGTAGTTGAGGAAAGATCGTACAAAACGAGCAAGGGTGAGGACACGTCAGACAGAAGGACAAGTGGTGATGAGGACAAATCGGAGAGTAATAGAGTCAGAGAGGGGTGATAGATCAGAGGAGGACAAGCTCAGAATGACGGGAGAGGCGGAGCGTATGATCCAAACGCAGTGAACAATTTTACATATACACAAACAAAATTACGTGCCAAAATTGATATGGACAATATGAATAAAGTTGTGAAAAATGACAGTCTTCTAAATTTCTAATAAGACGGAGTAACCGAGTAGTTATTTTGCATGTAAGAGTTTATGGTTAGAAAGATGAAGTGTTGTGTTAAAAAGTTATGGTGATTGAGAAACTAAGTACGAAATAGTATATGGCGTTTTTAAGAAACCGCTAACATTTTTGAACAAGAAACGCTGCATTTTGTAGCGTTTCGATATCAAGCCGCTGGAAAACAAACGGCCTCTACAATAGTACCTTCGCCGGTTGAAATAAAAAGAGTTCCGACCTCTCTACCACATACAATTAAAATATACTACGTACGTAGTAGTAAAAAAGCAAAAGACTTAATAGTATTCTCTTTTACAATCGTCAAAACGTACTCACTCTTTTAGTCGAGTGTACCGAAAATGAAAAATAATAAATGAACGAATCTTATATTATCATTGTAATTTGTCATTATTATAGAGAAAGTACAAGTGTATTTTTGTCTCCCGTGCATCGCAAGGGTAGAATTACAATTACAATTACTTTGAGGTAATTGTAATTTTCTCTAGTTTTCTCCAAAAAAATAAAAAGGTTTATTTTGAGTTTAATTACAATTACTCTCTCTTCAAAAAAATACATCTACTTTATTTCATAAGTTAAATGTCAAAGCATTTCAATATTTTCTTCATTTGGATACCACATTACACTATGAGCTAACTGCTTAAACGTTTAGAACATTTAAAAGTTTCATGATTAAATTTTTTGGCCTCCTATAGTGATTAACATAAAACTATTACATTAAAAAAATCACTAACATCTTTTTTTTATTGCAAAATCATTGACATCAAATAATTGTGTTGGATAATTGATACCCATATTGTATGAAAAGGAGATTTGAACAAGAATGTAGTAGGGAATGAAGAAGAAGATAAGTGTGTATAGAATGAATATTGGTTGTATGAGTTGTGTAGCCTCCTAAAGGAGTATATATAGGGAAAATCCGGGTCTGGACCTCTAATATGGGCCTGACAGACCCGATTACATAAATGGACTGATAGTACAAAAAACTAATCTAGAACATCTGAATAATAATAATAATGTACAATAATATGAATGATATCCGCTAAACGTGTGTGGGCCGCTGTCCAGGCCCAGTAGTCGGAGTCCATATATTCCATCAGGAGTCCCCCATTCCCTGAGTCGAGAGTACTCGAGGCGAAAGGGAGTAGTCCAAACTGTATCTGCAACGTTCTTCTGTCCTTGATTTCTTCCTTTCCAGCCGGGGACCACCACCCTTGTCCATGATGGGGAGGTGCCTCGTTAAAAACCTTTACTAGGAAAAAACCATGTGGGAAAAAATCCTAATAAAGGGAAAAAGAGTACACCTAGCGCCCCCAACATGAAACAAGGAAGGTAGTCCCCTTCCGGCATAATCATTTTTGTCTGGTTCAACTTGTCTTCATCTGACTTAGCTCTCGTTCCTGCTCATGCGTGATATTTGTTGCTCATCCAGAAAATCTGATCTCTCAGTCTCCCAGTCCCCCCACTCTTTGAGACGAGTGGAGTCGAGGTGAAAATGAGTAAAGTCGTCTTCGTACCTACACATTTAGCATGCATATAAATTTTTTCTTGGGGTTTATGTTTCCGATCGGGAGTTCGTCACTTGAAAAAGTGGAAATGTGAATTGTTGATGTAATGATAAAATACTTAGTAGAGCAGAGGTGTGAGTCATTCGTACGCAACGGTCGCCACTCTTGGAATGACTAAGATCGGTCTTCGTGCCTGAGAGTCAGGGCTTTGTGCCTGAGGAGTCAGGGCTTTGAATCCTAGTGATGGGTCTCAAGCCACACTCTACTAGGCATTTGATCATAAGTGCGTGATAGTGTGATATTTAACCGACAAAAAAATATTGATTGAAATAAATATAAATAATATGAGAATTAAAGAGTACTTATCTGTTTTAAGTGGGCTGAAATATTGGGCCACTTGGGGGTTGTATCTGTTGCAAGAACTACGGCCCACCATTTTTTTTAGACCGGTTCTGGACTAAAGGTTGTCTGCTGGTCCACAAATTTTGATTGAAGCTAGGTATTTGCTCCGTATTTTCTCGGCCACCATGAGAGGAGTGAAGTGCATCCACGTATAGATTCTTCTAAGCCATATACGGAGCATCACAAAGGTGAATTAATTTAGTGGGTCCACCTGAATTAATTTAGTGATCCAATCCTTCTGGCTTTTCACTAGTGAACCTCGCATATGGCATGTGTCACAGCCTTCTTTTAGCTCGACCTTGGGATTCATGCCTAGCTTTACTGACGCCAAAAATGGAGGACCTCCCAACCACAGGCCGCCAGAGATGAAGAGGGGCCTTGGCGGTCCAACTCCTGCTTAACAATCCAGAGCTAGAATCCCCATTAATGGCAGTCAGAGGCCACCAAACTTCCATTCCGGAACGTTGAGACGCGACGGCGACTGGCGTGGCGCTGGAGCGACCATTGAAAGGCGGCGACGCGGTAACAGAAGCGACGAAGTTCGTACGCTGGACAGTTCGCCGGTGTCTGCTGGAGAAGGGTAGCGAGGAGGGATAAGGCGCGGCAGAAACACGATGGGAGTTCAGGACTTCGGCAATCTGAAGCGAGTTGTACGTCCACTGCTGCTAAGGTCGCCAGAATCGGACGGGCATCCTCTTAGGTTTCGCTACTTGGCTGCTTCCTTGTCCATCCTTGGTGGTGCTTGGCCTCTGTGGTCGAAGGTCATTCCCTTGGATCTGCAGCAAAAGAACCAAATGGAATCCGATGTTGTAGCAGAGCTCGTGCTTGGGGGTCGCTTGTTTTCCATCGACCTCAACTTTGCCACTGGCCGCGAGGTTGGCGAAGACCTGGGTTTGCTTCGTCCGACCAATGGCTGTGAGCAGCGAGCGAAGGGACTGTATACGAGCTGCCGGTGACCCGAAGCTCCTGGTCGTGAGTGACGGTGTCAAGTCAGCAGTGGTATTTGCTTCCCAACAGCCATTAATGGCGGATATCACAAGATCTGGTTCCAACGAGCACGAGTAGAAGTCGGAGGAAATTGCTAGAGACCGCTGTCACTTTATTCCTTGTGATTTGACCAACCCTTGAACGGTGGGTAATGGGTAGAGGACCCAAGCCCAGACCCTTCTGCTCTGATCAGATTGTTGCTTGCCTCTTCGGATCCTGACTTACAGATCTGGATCTGTAATTTGCAGCTAAATTTACAGAATGGCTGATGATTTTTTGTAGTAGATTCACCGGAGGAAGATGAATTTCTGGATTTTGGGAGGTTTTCTCACTCGATTGTGTTCAACCTCTCAACGAGAGCACCATTGTTGGATAATTGACACCCATATTGTATGAAAAGGAGATTTGAACAAGAATGTAGTAGGGAATGAAGAAGAAGATAAGTGTGTATAGAATGAATATTGGTTGTATGAGTTGTGTAGCCTCCTAAAGGAGTATATATAGGGAAAATCCGGGTCTGAGCCTATAATATGGGCATGACAGACCCGGTTACATAAATGGATTGATAGTACAAAAAACTAATCTAGAACATCTGAATAATAATAATATTGTACAATAATATGAATGATATCCGCTAAACGTCTGTGGGCCGCTGTCCAAGCCCAGTAGTCAGAGTCCATATATTCCATCAAACTGAAATAAGGGATTCACACTAGATTGTTATTGAAAGTCCAATTTTATGATATGAATAGTTATACGTTGCAATCAAATTTCTAAAAATCTTAATCAATTGAAGTTATAAAAATCTCAAGTTTTAATAGTGATGGTTAATCATGCAGTTGTCACGGTTGTGTATGAAAAAATGTTCGAATATTGTTGATATCAATCACAAATATGAAGTTCATTTTAAGTAAACTAAAAAAATCCTCCCACAAATTATATGATAAAATATTGTGTTAATATAACAAAAATTTATATGAATAATCTTCTCTCAAATATTATTCTCACGTGCATCGCAAGGATACCATACTAGTTTCAAACATAACAATATTTTTCAAACTTTACGATAATTACTTCTTTTGAGAAAATAATAAAATGACAATTATATTTTAAAATTTTCAAATGTTTTTTGTCTTATTTTGGAACTTTCCAAATACAAAGTATAGTTAAATACTGTACCATCTAAATATGGCACAATGTCAAAAGAGTATTTCATCCACTAAAGAACGTAAGGCAACTTTTGGATAACGGCTTCAGTCTTGGGAAGTTCAAAATGGTGCTCGTCGGGCTCTTCATATCGGCGACGAAGCTTGCCGGTGTCCTCCTGACGCTCACGGTCGCCGCCAATGCTTTTTCCTATAACTCCTACCGCAAGAAGAATCTCAAACCTCTCCGTCTTCCATTGGACGAGTCCGCCGATACCCTCGCCGTCTTCGACGTTAATCCCACCGGTAACTTCCAACTCAATCAAATGCTAATCACCATGCATGGGTAGGTCATAGGTGAACTTTATTCTTCTTAAATTGTGCTAAATATTCATACTTCGTGGGTTTCATTTCCGTCAATTTGAAAATAATTCTTGTTTAATTCGCGTGCATCATCTTTTTATTGATTAATGAGGCCTATACAGTCAAGGTCCAGTCTTTCGTTCTTAATGGACATTACTAACATTTGTGCTTTAATTTTCATTTAGATGTCTATTTTAGGGTAAACGTTTATCCTAGACGACATTGATCCTAATCTGAAGGACCCTTTTAGAAAACCTCATGAATTTGAAGTGAAGAATCATTATTCGACTCCAAGATACTTAGGAGTATTTATTATTCATCATCATTGGCATTTTATATATGTTAAGGTGGTTGGTTGGTATGAAAGTTAGTTGGTGTCTAATATCAATGAACATTATAAATTTATGTAAAAAAGTATATGACTAAGATTTATTCTGGATAGCCTTCATGTCACTACCTTTTTACAAGGAATAGTGAGATGAAATTGTAAACCATGATTAGCATAAGGGAAAAGGTGCAAATAAGCCCTCGAACTAACCGAAAAAGTGCAAATCACCCCTTTTATAGGAGGATCTGTCCAGTCGTCGCCATTTGGGGAGGTTCCCGGTGGAATTTTTTGATGAATTTTTTTGAGCATCTTCTTCATTAAGTCTAGTTTACCCATACAAAATTTCATCTAAAAATTCAACCGGGAAGGCAATCAAATGATTTTCTGAAATATACTGCGCTGTTTAACTGCGCAGTTATCTTCAAACATTTATTTTACTGCCTTCCTGATTGCATTTTTAGCTGAAATTTGGTATGGGTAAACTAGACTTGATGAAGAAGATGCTCAAAAAAATTCATTAAAAAATTCCACCGGTAACCGCCCCAAATGCCGACGGCCGGACAGAGCCTCCTATAAAAGGGGTGATTTGCACTTTTTCGGTTAGTTCGAGGGCTTATTTGCCCCTTTTCCCTTAGCATAATGATTTTCCACATGAAGACTTCAACCAATGTGTTGCTATAGTTGTTTCATAATCTATTATAAGATTGATATGGTGACATGCCACAACTGGTATGCTGACATGCTAGAACTGGTGAGGTAGTTTGACTTATAGTCATTAGTGGCTTTAGTTAACACATCTTTAAATTCTTATCTAAACATGTAGAAAGCTGAAGATTTACCACTCAGATGCCTTAAATCATTTGTTTTTGCTGCTAGGAAAAGATCCAGTTTTTTCAATACATAATGTAAAAAGTAACATTTCTCTTTTTTCTGTTCAGATAGATGATGACTCAATGTATTTCATGCCATGCTTTTTCTAGTTTCTATTTCTACAGATCAATCTCTTAATCTATGTTCTGCTGTTTGTCTGCCTGTTATTCACAGACGATGAGAAAAGGTTCTTCTTTGGATTGGCAACTGCACCAGCACATGTGGAGGATAGGCTTAATGATGCCTGGCTCCAGTTTGCACAAGAGGCTCCTTGTAAACATTCAGTGTCAAACAATGAACCCCAACTAGTAGATGCATTATTGGCTTCCGCTACAGGTGATGGTGGCACCCAACAAGCTTCTTCCCCACCAAGAGTAGCATCACAGATCATGAAAAGAAGAAAGTATGTTAAGATAGCTATGGAGGCAAAAATTAGAGGGTATGAAAAGTACATAGAAGTAGAAGAAACTGCACCTGCTGGGGCATGCCAGCATACTGTTGCTGCTTGGCATAATGTTCCGCACCCGTAAGTTCCATATACATAGTAAACATTTTGTTGTATTGTCTGACCGCATATATGAGACTCTGTTTAAAATAGGCTGAAGATAATAACACATCACACAAACTCTGTTGTATACGAAGTGTGAATGAAATTTCACACTTTTTTAAGCTACACGCCACACCACCTACACCTATGAGATTATTGCATTTTTCATTTGAAATTACTCTTTCCAATTTAATATCCATACAATAAACACAAAACAACTGTATCATTCTTGTTGTTTCAGGGAGGAAAGGCTAAGGTTCTGGTCTGATCCTGACACAGAATTGAAGTTGGCAAAGGATACTGGAGTCCAGTTGTTCAGGATGGGAATTGACTGGTCCAGAGTTATGCCTAAGGAGCCCACAGATGACCTACAAGAACATGTAAGTCTGACTACTGACTTCCTTTGGGTACAATGATCCCCAATATTTCTTATAGCCATGTTGTTTATGAAACACTAAGATCTACACACTTCACGCAAATAAGTATTATTGGGAAGCTTCTTGTTTATGACTTAAATGAACTATAATGTTCAGATATTAAAATAGAGAGGATTTATAAGATTGTGATTTGGGTGTGTCTCCTGCTATAATTATTATTAGTTAGTAGTAGTTTTGTATTAGTATTGATATTGTTATTTCCTTATTTAGTTTTAGTCAGCTTCTTATTGGTCTTTAGATTTATGTTTCTTATTATGATTTGGGCTCTTGTGATAGCTAGTTATATAAGGGTCCTCAGTGTTGATTAGTAAAATATGCCTGAAGAATTAATTCTTTCTTGTGTGTCTTAAATAGGTTGAGTTCAGATAAATTCTATCTTAGGTTTTTTCGAATCTTTCTCTCTCTTATATGTAACAGATCCGAAATCCCTTAAGGATAGATCCGAAACTCTCCTGCGTTCATTCTAGACCTTGGGTGAGATCTGTATCACACTCATATGGATTGTAATACCATGCATTTCTTGAAATGCTCATAGGTCAATTATGCTGCACTGGAGAGATACAAATGGATTGTAAACAGAGTGCGATTTTATGGCATGAAGGTAATGATGACGTTATTCCATCACTCACTTCCACCTTGGGCCAGCGAATATGGAGGGTGGAAGATGGAAAAGACCATTGACTATTTCTTGGAATTTACCAGGTCGGATACTCTGCATGAGCTTAATCAAGATATCGTACATGCATACATTTATGATTTATTGTGTAGTCACATACTATGCCTCCAAATAGAACTTCTACTCTGAAATGGAATCCCTGACAACTTGGCTAGAGCAACGGAATAAAGAAAACCCTCTTCTTTTAATAAAAGAAATCTATTGAATACCTGTTATTACTTCTTAGAACATCACTAGTGGAAAATAAGTGTGTATTATGAGCTTAAGTAATGTACATTCGCAGTCTTGTTGTTGATGCCGTATCAGATGCCGTGGATTACTGGGTAACATTTAATGAGCCTCATGTGTTCTGTATGCTGACTTATTGTGCTGGTGCTTGGCCTGGTGGTAATCCTGATATGCTGGAGGTTGCTACTTCTGCATTACCCACAGGTGTCTTCAACCAAGCCATGCACTGGATTGCAATTGCACACTCAAAGGCCTATGATCACATCCACGAAAGAAGGTTCACATCCTTTTTTCTTATCACATCATTTCTACCTTTTTTTTTTATGTTTTTAAGAATTAGTACCCCATTTGGTCACTCTATATCTATTTTCTCGACTACAACAACATCCAAGCCTCATTCCCCAAAGATTTTGGGGTCGGCATGTATTTCCTCGACTATAAACATAATTTTCAATTTGGTCCTCAATGTTTCTACTGAATTTGGTCATTGATGATTTAGTTTAAACAATATTTAGTCTTCATGCACATTTCACGATAATTAAGAAATGCCCTTTCATACAAGGAGGATTAAACTGTATCTAAATTACAGTCCAGGGCTAAATCAAGTTCGAAGTTGGGTTTAGATTTAGTGAGCGGACACAAATACCCTTCTTATTTTGAATGAACACATGTTCTATTAAATTAGGTTCAAGCTTTTTAGTCAAGAACCAAATTGTGTCCAATAAGATGTTAATTAGAAAATTGAGTAATAGTTACAGACATAGTCAAGGGACTAAATTGGATATTAACTGTATTTTGATCGTATTATTGGAGCTCTCGTTTAATGTATGTTTCTAGGCAAATTTGGTTTCACTTTGCAAACCATACTCTTTTTAATACTTCACTTGTTTTATTGCACTTACACTTCGCTGCAGAGGATCAGGAACATTAGTGGGAGTTGCACACCATGTCTCGTTCATGCGCCCATATGGACTTTTCGACATTGCTGCTGTTTCAGTTGCTAATTCTTTGACTCAATATCCTTTCTTGGATGCAATTTCTGAGAAGCTGGATTATATAGGGATAAATTATTATGGACAGGTATATTTCCCTGTAGAGTTGGTATATTTATGTTGAAACAATGATTTTTCTCCAATCTGGGGTAATTTGTAGGGCTGAGTTCAGTTCGGGTCCCGGACCGATACTGTGAATCCAAGGACCTGTTAGATTACTGGTAAAATAATATCAAGAACAGTAGAGAATCCAAAAGAATTGATCAAGAAATAGATCAAGAAGAGTTTATTGATGTAGAAGAAGATTACAGAATGTATACAATGCCTAGGACAATTCGTGATGCCCAATCTCCCAGCCTATTCCACAGAATACTTGCCTACCATTCTTAGACTCCAGACTTCTATTTATAGTACTTCTATTTATAATACAAGCCCACTTATTATTATCTACAATAATAGGCCCACTTATTATTATTTCTAATAATAGGCCCATTCCTAACAATACCCCCCCCTAAACAACCACCTTGTCCTCAAGGTGGGTGATAGGAATCAACCATGATCTCCCACTTCCACTTCATTCTGGCACCTCTCCCTTCCCAGTACACCATTGCATTCTGGATCTTTAGCTTCAGTACTTGAAGCTGCATCTTCATGTTCTTCTCTGCAAGGAGCAGTAACAAGGTCCTGGAGGCAGAATGCTCTCTTATGTTGCAAAAGTTTGCATCTTCCAGCATCTGTGTTTCCTGTTGTATCCTTTGCCTTTGTTCCCACATCTTTTCAAGAGAATTGACCTCACTTTGCTCAAGACCTTGAACAAGTTCAAAAGCATCTGATCTCTCCAGGGTATATCTTTTCACAAGTAGATACTGCTCTCTAAGTCTCTCAGCCATGAGTTTGATTCTTTCAGAGCATATTGAGGATAAGGCACACCCTACAGCTTTAACCTTTGCAAGGACACCCATCCGAACTTCAGCTGTTCTATCAGTAGACATCTTTAGGACTTCCAGAAATACTAGTTGAAAAATCTCCTTGATTATATATTTGGGCATAGCAAAGATATCCTCCAGCAAGCTAACCACTTTTATTACTGTATCCCTCTGATAAGTCTCCTGTTTGAATTGCAGCATGGAGGATATACAAGTGTAGACTACTCGTTGACCCCCATTAGCAGGCCCTTTCAAATACTTGCCGGCTAGCTTCAAGTCCCTTTTAACCCCAAGCTCATTCAGATACATAACCCCAAGGTTGTAGAGCCCACAAAGCTCATCATTATCATCACCCTTCTCCCGATGATCTTTTGTAGGGGTATACTTCTTCCGCACCCCATAACCTTTCATGTAGAAATAGTCCATGTAAGTTTTAGGAATTAAACTTCTTTGATTGAATGAGCCATACAGCCAGAGTATAAATACAGTTTGTACAGATAACTACAAGCTAATACAGATCCTAAAAATTAAGATCTAGATAACTATGAGCTTATCTACAACTAACTAAGTCTATCCGACTCACTATGTACATCAATCTAATCAGGTAAAATAATGTAACATTTTTCTAATAATGTAACATTTTTCTACACTCCCCCTCAAGTTGGTGAATATATATCATACATTCCCAACTTGCTTATAAGTAGCTCAAATAAAGGTCTAAATAACCCTTTGGTGAAGATATCAGCTGTTTGATCTTTAGTGGATACAAATGGTGTGCAAATGATTCCAGCTTCAATCTTCTCCTTAATGAAATGTCTGTCCACTTGAATATGCTTAGTTCTATCATGTAGCACAGGGTTATGAGCATTGCTTATAGCAGCTTTATTATCACAATATAACTTCATAGGCAGCCCAATCTCCATCTTTAGTTCTGTGATTACTCGTTTGATCCAGAGTAACTCACATATTCCATTAGCCATAACTCTGAATTCTGATTCTGCACTACTTCTAGCAACCACATTTTGTTTCTTAGTTCTCCAGGTTACTAGATTTCCCCATACATAGGTGCAGTATCCAGAAGTAGATCTCCTATCAGATATTGAGCTAGCATAATCTGCATCAGTAAAAGCTTCAATTGTCCTATTGTTTCTCTTTTTGAAAAACAATCCTTTCCCTGAACAGCTCTTCAGGTATCTCAGAATCCTGTAAGTAGCATCAAGATGTTCTTGGAGAGGATGATGCATAAACTGACTCACCATGCTTACAGCAAATGCAATATCTGGTCTTGTGTGTGCCAGATATATTAATTTTCCTACCAATCTTTGATATTGGTAAATATCAACTGGAATTCCCTCCTTGATATCTCCCAATTTCTGACTTGGGTCAATTGGAGTGTCTGCTGGTTTGCAGGCACTCATTCCAGTTTCCTGTAGAAGATCTAGAACATATTTCCTTTGTGAGACAACAATACCCTTCTTTGATCTAGCTATCTCCATTCCTAGGAAATTTTTTAAATTTCCTAGGTCTTTAATCTCAAATTCATGAGCAAGTTTGTCTTTCAATCTTTTAGTCTCTGTGTGATAATTTCCTGTGAGGATAATATCATCTACATAGACAATTAAGATTGCAATCTCCCCCTTACCTGAAAACTTCATGAATAAAGTATGGTCAACTTGAGCTTGATTAAATCCTTGCTTCTTTATGAACTTTGTGAATCTGTCAAACCAGGCTCTTGGAGACTGTTTAAGTCCATATAAAGCCTTCTCTAATCTGCAAACTTTTAACCCAAACTTATTTTCAAACCCAGGAGGAGGTTCCATTGTACACTTCTTCTTCAAGTTTCCCATTTAAAAAAGCATTCTTTACATCCAGTTGTTGTAATGGCCAGTCTAAATTGGCAGCAAGAGATAAAAGAATTCTTACAGTGTTTAACTTTGCAACTGGTGCAAAGGTTTCTTTGTAATCAATTCCATAGGTCTGTGTGTACCCCTTGGCAACTAGTCTTGCCTTATACCTCTCCAAACTTCCATGTGCCTTAAACTTGGGGGTGAAAATCCACCTGCAACCAACTGTAGGTTTATTTTTAGGTAACTCTACAAGCTTCCATGTCTGATTCTTTTCAAGAGCCTCCATCTCCTCCAAAACAGCTTTCTTCCACTCTGGTTTAGATAGAGCATCCTGTATGGTTGAAGGAATAGAAATAGAAGAGATATTGGAAGTAAAGGTTGCAAAGTCTGAGGTCAATTTAGAATAAGAAACATAGTTTGAGATGTGGTATTTAACACATGTTCTTCTCTCTTTTCTGAGAGCAATTGGAAGATCAAAGTTGCTAGAAGCATTACCTTTTTCACTTCATGACACTGAGGCAGAATCATGGACAATTGTAGGTTCTTGGACTTCCTCTATTCTTTGATTTCTAACCCTTCTCTCATAAATTTTTCCAAAGAACTGACTTGTCTGTTGATCCTTTTCAATTGGTTCAGTTGGATTTACTTCATTATTTTTTATTTCTTGATCATTTTTAGGTGTACTGATATTTCTGAAGAAATTATCATCCAGATTAATATCAAGAAAATTAAGATTTTCATGAATATGTGGCATTATTGGAACATCTTAACTTAATTTCTCCCCCTGAAGATGAGAATCAAAAAAGGTTGTTCTTCCACAAAAAAAGTATCCATAGTAACAACCATTGTTTTGGTTGTAGGATCAAAACATTTATACCCTTTTTAGTGGCAGAAACACCTAGAAAAACACATTTTTTCCCTCTAGGATCAAACTTACTTGCAGATCTATCTGGATTTTTTATAAACACTGTGCAACCAAAATTTTTTAAAAGAAGGGTGTTTACCAATCTATTTGTAGGAAAGAAGTGTTGTAGTGAACTAATAGGACTTTTAAATCCTAAAGTTTTGGATGGCATGCGATTAATTAAATAAGTAGCATGTAACACTGCTTCTCCCCACAAATATTTTGGTATGTTTGTTGAAAACATGATTGCACGAGTGACTTCAAGCAAATGTCTATTTTTCCTTTCTGCAATTCCATTTTGAGCTGGTGTATTGACACAAGAGCTTTGATGAATAATGCCTTTTTCAGTAAAAAAGTTGTTTAAAGTTTGAGAAAAATATTCACGGCCATTATCACTTCTTACCATTTTAATTTTGGTATTGAATTGAGTTTGGACCATAGCATAAAATGTTCTAAATATTTTCTCAACTTCAGATTTTTCTTTGATTAAAAATACCCATGTGACATGAGTATGATCATCAATAATAGTTACAAACCATCTCTTTCCCTTTAAAGTTGGTATTCTAGATGGATCCCAAATGTCACTATGTACCAAGGTAAAAGGACTAGTAGGTTTATAACTGTGGGGTAAATAAGTGTTTCTGTGATGTTTTGCAAGTGCACACAAAGAAGCATCTTTATTCAGAAATAATTGAGGAAACATCTTTTTTAAATAATAGAAACTAGGGTGTCCTAGTCTATAATGAAGTAAATACAAATCTTTATTATTTGAAAAAGAAACAGTTTGCAAACAAGCATTTCTTGGACCTCTTTTATTAGATTGAGTTTCTCCATCAAAGATATAGAGTCCATCCTCCTCCTTAGCACTGCCAATCATCTTCCCCGATGCTAGGTCCTGAAAAATGCAATAAGAAGGATAAACAATTACACAACATTGTAGATCTTTAGTTATTTGACTAACTGAAGTAAGATTGCAGGATAGATTAGGGACATGAAGGACTTTGGATAGATTCAGTGATGAGGAAATACTAATATTTCCCATCCCTGCAATGGCTGATAGAGAACCATCTGCAACCTTAACCTTTTTATCCCCTGCACTAGGTTTATATGAACAAAAAAGATTTGAAATAGAAGTCATGTGATCAGTAGCCCCTGAGTCAATAACCCAGGAATTTTTAGATTTCCCATAACAAAAAAATGATGAATAGGTACCATTTTGGGCATAAGAACAAGAGGAAGATTCTGGTTGGACTCTTTCTGGGAATTTTGGGTTTTCTGGGAATTAAGGAAGTTAAGAAGTTGCCCTATCTGCTCTTGAGTGAATGAAAGCTGATTGAACTTGACTTGTGGTTCTTGTTGAATCTCAGTCACAGTTGTTTGTAGGGCCTTCTCAGTTTTTTTCTTTCCTGCTCCTGGTGGTTTGCCATGAATTTTCCAACAAGTCTCCCTAGTGTGCCATAATTTCTTGCAATGATCACACCAGGGTTTTTTCTTGTCATCACTCCTAGCCACCATTGCTGAAGAGTCCCCAGATTCCTCATTATGTACTGGAATTCTTCCTGCTATCCTCTATCCCGATTTCAGAAAATACCTCCCTGATAGAGGATAGAGGTTTTTTTCCAAGTATCCTCCCTTTTTTGGTGTCTTGCTAGATCCTTGGAACTCTCCCACTTCTCATCATCATGGCACTGATCCAACTCTTGCCATAGGGATACCATCTCATTATAGTAAGACATGACATCTCTATTTCCTTGTTTGGACTGCCACAACTTGGTTTCTAATTCAAAAATCTGAGAAGAGTTCTCAAGATCTGAGTAAGTTTCCTTAATGGAATTCCATACCTCCTTTGCAGTTTTCATGAACATGTGAGGTTTGGCAATTGATGCATCCATTGAACTTAGAAGCCATGCTGTCACAAAGGAATTTTCTGACCTCCAAACACTGTAGCCATCATCACCAGTTTGTTTCTCCTTTATTTCACCAGTTATGTGCCCTAGCTTGCCCCTTCCATCAATAGCCAGCTTGACAGACTGTGACCATTCGAGATAATTTGTGCCATTCAATCTATGGCCAGTAATGAGCATAAATGAATGAACTGAGGTCTGGTAGTTTGTCATTGAGCTATTTGGGGAGTTAGGGTTATGGGTTTGTGAGTGGGGAGAAGAGTCAGATTGCTCGGTTTCCACCATTGTGGTGTTTAAACAGCTGCTCTGATACCATGTAAGTTTTAGGAATTAAACTTCCTTGATTGAATGAGCCATACGGCCAGAGTATAAATACAGTTTGTACAGATAACTACAAGCTAGTACAGATCCTAAAAATTAGGATCTAGATAACTATGAGCTTATCTACAACTAACTAAGTCTATCCGACTCACTATGTACATCAATCTAATCAGGAAAAATAATGTAACGTTTTTCTAATAATGTAACAGTTTTCTACCGTCCATATCATTATAAGCCGAATAAAATTGTTGCTTGGAAGTAAGTGATATCCACTCTATTGCCTTGGTGTAGTTCCTCTCAACCCCTTCTCCTCTTACATATATATCACCAAGAAGTTCCATTGACCTTGCCTCGCCCTGATTGACCGCCTTCCGGAACCATGATAATGCCTTGGCTTGAGCACACCTCCTTTCTTGAACTGCTCTTTCACTAGATAAATCTGATTTATCAGAGTTCAGTGCATGCCCTACAGGAAATTTCACCCATAGGTACTGAGATCCTTTTTTTAATTCAGTAACATTCCCGCAAGCTGTAGTAAGTTTATGCATAATGTCAAGCCCACTAGATGCAGTGAGTTTATCTTCAAAGGAAACCTGTCAAATAAGTGCAACGACATTTGCTACCCCAAACACTCTCCTCATCTCAAATGCATTCATTACTAGATTTGGAGTTCTACTGGCAGACTCAGCATCAATTGATAATAAAGCCTTATTTCTTTCAGAAAAAGTGCAATCACCTGAAGGTCCTCCTGAAAAAATGGCATGGGGTTCACCTTTAGGTTCAGCGGCATCTGATGCTTTTCCTCGCTTTCATCGTCGCCCATAGTGCACTTCTCTGCATTTTCTCTGACAAAAGAAGCACTCCTATCATCAGAGGATGGTTTCTGCTCCCACACAGACTCCTGCAGGACTGTTGATACCTGCGCACAGTGAGAAGTGATTTGCGACATAACCTGCGAACTGGGGATATCTGCTCGTGGCAAAGTTGGCGAACTTGTAGAAGGTGCTTGTGACTGAGACGACACCTGAGAATTGGAAGCTATGGTTCGCGACAAAGCTGAAATAGTTTGCGATGACATCTGCGAACGGGAAGCTTCTCTCGATAGAGTCTTACTTGGTCGTGAACTGCTGGTAGATGATGAAGTCCGTGATTTCGAACTGTGAGAAGAATTCAACTCAGGTTGAAATCTACGAATTATAGATTTCTTCAGAGTGTCCCAATTAGTTTCTTCAGTCTGGTACTCCCACGAATGAAACCAATTCAAAGCCCTATCTTCCATAGCAACCCTAGAGGCTTCAACCTTCTCTTCCTCTTCAATGTCATTTAACCGAAAATACCTCTCCATTTGTATAATCCAGTTATATGCTCCCTCGCCGTTAAACAATGGTAAATCTATTTTTTGCGGGTGCGTACAGGTATTCTCGTATGTTCATCACAATGACGATGATCGTTGACCTTAGAATGAACGGAATTACCTCTGGGATGTACTGGACTGTGCGATGATACTTGTGCGCTTAGCGAGGACCCTTGCGAACTGATAGAAGCCTTTAGCGATTTCGAAACAGAATAAACAGTTCGCGACTCCTTCTGCGAACTGGTGAGCGAATTGCGATGCGATGCGTAAGAGGCATGCGATCTGCTTCGCGAACTACTCCGGATTTCTCTCTCCAGATTCGCGATGCTCGCCTGCATTGTAGCCATGGTCGTCGCTATTTCCTTCATCAAGGTATGGTTCCGCTTTTCCATTCTGTTCTCCATTTTTTGTTCTCTTCCAGACCTTCCAGTCTTCCACAACTGAAACGGAGAAATTTCTGAGGTTGCGTATCTTTTCCGATCACTAATACGATCACCAGAAACGTATGCTCTGATACCAATGTTAGATTATTGGTAAAATAATATCAAGAACAGTAGAGAATCCAAAAGAATTGATCAAGAAATAAATCAAGAAGAGTTTATTGATGTAGAAGAAGATTACAGAATGTATACAATGCCTAGGACAATTCGAGATGCCCAATCTCCCAGCCTATTCCACAGAATACTTGCCTACCATTCTTAGACTCCAGACTTCTATTAATAGTACTTCTATTTATAATACAAGCCCACTTATTATTATCTACAATAATGACCCACTTATTATTATTTCTAATAATAGGCCCATTCCTAACAGGACTGAACCGACATTTTGGTTATCCAGAGGGAAACAACTGAAACCGAACCGTTAATGAACGGGTACCGAATTATTGGGAACTGATTTTTAGAGTTGGTTTGCCCAAAGCCATATCAACCTGAATTTCTATAAAAACAAATTAACTATTGAACTACGCCGTAATATTCAACGCAACAAGCCTTAAGAAAGTCTTGGCAATACAAATTTGAGCCCATTAACTTCTTGTACCAAGCCACTCTATACGATTGGTTGGTAGCACAAAAAAATGGTTTGTAGCTTGCACCGCAACACTGAGCTATGCTAGAAGCAGGGGCGTATCTAGAGTAGGGGAAGCTCCCCCAACCCAACCCCTATATATAACCTAAAATTTTATAAGAAATTGCTCAAAGTAGGAGCTAAATAAAAGAAAATATCTATAGGACTAATAGTGCTTTCTTCCCCAAAAATATGATTTATGTAATCCTATTAAAAGAATAAAAAGATAAAAAATTTCCTAAATAGAAGTGTATGAGTCCTATTTTGTGAAGAAAACAATGGTACTCTTATTTGAGAAAATTTGTTATGTTTAACTTCTATTTAGGGAATTTTCACAAATTTTATCTGCAATTGCATCTTTGCTAACACATAATATAAATTGATCTTCTTTTAATACATAGTTGTGCATTTATAACTTAAACTAAGTCTAACTAAACAATATTAATAATGTTATCTGTTATTTGTGAAATATGTGACTAAGTTGTAGTGTAAGTTTGCCTCCACTCAGAAATTTTTTCTGAATACACCACTGACTTAAAGATATAACTTATATGGAAAAATTTGGAGGATTTCTTCTCTTTTTCGGGTGTGGGACAAAATTGTTTTGGAAATAAAATTGAAAATTCAAATATAATTTTCACACCTAGGAGTCGAACTTGGGATATCATAGGAAAACTATATGCACAACCAGCCTACCATCAACTTGCCCACGTACTTGTTTTGTGCACATTGAACTTGGGCAATTATTATAGCTCATCTACGCAACATCATTAACTACCATAATAATGATTAATAAAAATAATCATTATTATTAATGTATATATTGTCAGTTCGGTTCGGTGCAAACCGATATTTGGGTATATAAACCGAATTTAAACCACTTAGGCTTTGTTCGATTTTTCCAGTACAGTTCAGTTTTTCTAGTCCAGTTTTTGATTTTTCGGTTGGAAATGCCAGTCCACCTAGTAACTCGTAATACTAAGTTTTTTTTCAGGAGGTAGTATCAGGTGCAGGACTGAAGCTGGTGGAAACAGACGAGTATAGTGAATCAGGACGGGGCATTTATCCTGATGGCCTGTACAGGATTTTGCTTCAATTTCATGAAAGATACAAACATCTTAATGTACCATTCATAATATCCGAAAATGGTGTTTCAGATGGAACAGATGTAATTAGGCGACCATACATGCTGGAACATCTATTGGCAATTTCTGCAGCCATTGTAGCAGTAAGCTGTAGTTGATAGCTGTTAGCCTGTTACCCTGGTCTTATATTATACTCCCTGGCCTCTTACTTATCTGTAAATGTTGACCTATTTTCCTTGTTTTTTATTTGTTCATTTATGAAATCTATTTATCTAAGCATGTTAATTACTACCTTTTCCAATTTACTTATGATATTCAGTTTACCCTCTTCAAGAAGAATAAATGTGAGGTTGGCTTTTTTAATGAGAGCATTTTAGCTAAAGTATCAAAAGTTTTGATTACTAAACCACCATAATAGATTTTTCTTAAACCATGAGATTTCTTTTACGTAGAGTCGTAGAGAGATATGGTCGATTCTTGATATCCGACCCCTCTTTTGGGAATAATGCTCGGATGTTGTTGTTGTTTTAGAGTCGTAGACAGATAAATAGGAATGGAGTAAGTATTTGGATACATGAAATTTTAATTCCTGCCTGCTAATGACTGCCATTTAAGGGTGTTCCAGTACTTGGTTACTTGTTTTGGACAATTTCTGATAACTGGGAATGGTCTGATGGATATGGTCCCAAATTTGGGCTTGTAGCAGTTGACCGTTCCAATGATCTTGCTCGAACTCCACGCCCCTCATACCATCTGTATTCCAAGGTAACATTTTCTAGTTATAATTTCTATTCAATTACTAATGCATCTTGTGCTGGTATTGAATCTGCTAACATCTGATAGTACAGGTTGTCAATACAGGTAAAATCACTAGGGCGGACAGAGAAAATGCATGGAAAGAACTTCAAATTGCAGTAAAAGAGAGAAAAATGAGACCATTTTATCGATCTGTAAACAAGCATGGCTTAATGTATGCAGGTGATTATAATATATTTATGCTTATATAGCATAGATAGCTTCTATGCACACACACATGCACACACATGCTTATTTATATATGTATATCAATATATGTCTGTTTTTTTACCCCGGAAGGCAAACCACCAAATTCAGTGGGGCAGATGCCGGGGGTCAAAGTGCGGTATTCAGAAATCCGCACTGTGCCGGGGCTCCAAATTTTTCCATATAAGTTATATCTTCAAGTCAGTGGTGTATTTAGAAAAAAATTCTGAGTGGAGGCAAACTTACACTACAATTTAGTCACATATTTCACAAATAACAGATAACATTATTAATATTGTTTAGTTAGACTTAGTTTAAGTTATAAATGCACAACTATGTATTAAAAGAAGATCAATTTATATTATATCTTAGCAAAGATGCAATTGCAGATAAAATTTGTGAAAATTCCCTAAATAGAAGTTAAACATAACAAATTTTCTCAAATAAGAGTACCATTGTTTTCTTCACAAAATAGGACTCGTACACTTCTATTTAGGATTTTTTTTTATCTTTTTATTCTTTTAATAGGATTACATAAATCCTATTTTTGGGGAAGAAAACACTCTTAGTCCTATAGATAATTTCCTTTATTTAGCTCATACTTTGAGCAATTTCTTATAAAATTTTAGGTTATATATAGGGGTTGGGTTGGGGGAGCTTCCCCTACTCTAGATACGCCCCTGCTTCTACATAGCTCAGTGTTGCCGTTCAAGCTACAAACCATTTTTTTGTGCTACCAACCAATCGTATAGAGTGGCTTGGTACAAGAAGTTAATGGGCTCAAATTTGTATTGCCAAGACTTTCTTAAGGCTTGTTGTGTTGAATATTACGGAGTAGTTCAATAGTTAATTTGTCCATATGGAGTTAAAAATCCGAAATTCAAACAGTTAAAAATCAATATGGAGTTGCACAATATACATAGAGAAGGGGACCAAACCAAACTTCTCCAAAAGAAACATCAAAGCAGTTAAGTAGAGACAACTCAGCAAACAATATAAGGAATGTCAAGAGAGTCCAATTTAATAGACCCAGCAAGCTCATTGGGTAAAAAATTCCCAGTCTTCCATGAAAAAGGCCTAAACAGGCCCAGCTTAGCTACCACCTTTGCAGATTGATTAACTTGGGCCGAAATAAAGTTGAAAGTCAGGCCCAATTGATTAAAGCCCCTGTTCGACAAACCTGAACCCAACAATCGAGCATAAGAAGTATCCACTTCCACAATAGGAAAGCCAAACGTTTCAGACCACCGCACCGCCTGAACAATATCAATATATGTCTGTATATATATGGTTTCAAATAAAAATGCTGCTTGTGGGAAATACCAAGTATCCTTTTCTCTTTTGAAAGTAACTCTCTATCCATCTTTTGGTAATATCATTTCTTTGCTTACATATGTGTTAAGTCTGAGGGAGGATTCAGCTGGTTTTGGATGTTGGCATGCTATTTAGTGTCAATCTGAATTTATTGGCCGAACATGTTTAATTATGTTTTCACTTTTATAGGAGGTCTTGATGAGCCAATAATGAGACCATATATTGAACGCGATTGGCAGTTTGGACACTATGAAATGGAAGGTCTACAAGATCCATTGAGTCGATTTTCACGACTCATTCTCCGACCCTTTTCCATCAAATCTAATGCTAAACCCAAGACAGTGAATGAGGAATCCACTCTTGAGTCTCTTTCGTCCGCACTTTGATACTCTTCCAACTTGCAAGAAGATATTGTGAAAATTCTATCAATGAAGCTGTTGCAAGGTAAAACTCCTGAAAATTCTGTAGCTGCTGCTGGAAAGATGTGCTTCAAAAGTAAAAATCAATGAGCAATTTCACTGCATGGAGACCGCTAAATATATATGAGCTTATGTATCAATGACTGTAAATTTGTAGTATATTCTGTCATATTGTATAGCTTGTAAGTTGTAACTGCATGCATAAGCACTCTACCTTGATGCTTTGTTATTCGTTATGCATCACAAACTGTAATTCACTTGGTGATGATGATTGATGAACACTTTAAATTACATGCACATTGTTTCTTACTAGTCAACTGTTTGAATTTTGGATCTTCCTTATACTTCAAAAATATAGGAAACTGATGTGGTTTTATTGTATAACTGTGTTAATAGAAACCTATTAGTATCTTGACCCATGCCGTGCACGGGATAAAAGGATATTTTAAGTTTTAGGACATGAGTCCGTGTGTGTTTGTTCAGTGTGCTATTGATATAGGCCAAAAAATCACTTGAGACATATTTGCCGTTGACAAATTGGTCAAGTTTTTGTGAGACTGTGAGAGATAATTTTGGTTCCTGACTTAGAATTTTTGACATTTCATATCCTAAATATTGTGAAATTGACATTTTATGCTTTTTACTTTAATTTTATCATCAAAAGTGGAGGAGTAAAAATGTCAAGGACCGTGCTTGATAGTAGCTGTTGTCTGCTAAGTGCTAACTAATTAATAGCCGCTTGAATCAGCACACTGATTATGCCGTGCACGGGATAAAAGGATATTTTAAGTTTTAGGACATGAGTCCGTGTGTGTTTGTTCAGTGTGCTATTGATATAGGCCAAAAAATCACTTGAGACATATTGGCCGTTGACAAATTGGTCAAGTTTTTGTGAGACTGTGAGAGATAATTTTGGTTCCTGACTTTAGAATTTTTGACATTTCATATCCTAAATATTGTGAAATTGACATTTTATGCTTTTTACTTTAATTTTATCATCAAAAGTGGAGGAGTAAAAATGTCAAGGACCGTGCTTGATAGTAGCTGTTGTCTGCTAACTAATTAATAGCCGGTTGAATCAGCACACTGATTATAGCGGATTCTGTTAGCTTTTATAACTAACTGCTTTCATTAGTGTTTGAAACAAAATATTAGTAACTTAATTGTTTGCTATGAAATGTTAAGACGTATAATGACCATTAAAGATATGAATTTAAAAGTTTGACGGATAGTATATCCGAGGATACCATTGGGGGTATCTAGAGAGAAGTCGGAACAAGTAAGAGAGAGAGAGAGAGAGAGAGAGAGAGAGAGAGTAGGTGTATATTAAATGAACTCAAGTGTGTTTGATCGTTTACAATGGAAGAATGGTTGTTATTTATAGCAACCATAAATGCTAGGCGCATTTAATGCGAGTACATGTGTCAAGCAATCAACGATGGAGGGTCGACTCAACCAGGGTGGCGCCGGCATAGCATGTGGCATCACATTTAATGCGGTGGTTGGACGTGACACCGCATTTAATGCGATGATCCAGAACGTGCAGGGAGGAGATCTTGTCGGGGTAGTGTCGAAGGCCGCATGTACCCCGGAGGCCTTCATGTGCCGAAGGCGTATGTAGTCGGGGCCGTCATGTGCTGAAGGCCATATGTACCCCGGAGCCCTTCATGTGCCGAAAGCCGTACGTATCCGGGGGACCGTCATGTGCAGAAGGTTGTTGACGTACCCCGGGGGCCTGCATGTGTCAAAGGCCGTACGTCCACGGGGACCGTCATGTGCCGAAGGCTGTAATTTTAGCCTTGGTTCCCAATTGTGTTTGTAGAGCAGGTGTAACTGTTTTCCCCGAATATGGAGCCTTCGGGCATGGGGCCGAAGGCAACATCTTGTGTAGTACGGGCTGTTCGAAGTCTTTTTTGCTGTGTTTGGGCCACTTGGACCTGTTCGTAGTAGTGGAAGTATGTGGGTCGGGGGCTCCTGGGCCATATACTCCATCAAGAGTCCCCCACTCCTTTTGCCGAGAGCTTCTCAAGGGAAATAGGAGTAATTGTCGTGATCCCGTCGGTGGCTTCCTTACTGTAGTTGAGGAATAATAAAATTTTTCACGTTTGCGTGTTTTGCCGAGGGGAGTCCCCCGGTCCCCTACAGTCTTCGGCTGAGGAGTTTTTGAGAGAAATCATGGTTGTTCCTCCAATTTTGGTGAAGGCTGGCATGCTTCTATTGATGTCCTGGGAAAACTTTTGTTATGCGTGATTTTCCCGAGGGGTTCCCCTAGTCCCCCACTCCTTAAGGCACATGTAATGAGGTGAAAAGGAGTATAGTAATGCATATCTTCAACAGGGGGCCGAGGGTTGACGCATTTTGATCCACAACGAGGAGATGCCTCGCTAAAAACCTCATTAGGAAAAACGGTATGGGAAAAAATCCTAATGAGGGAAAAGAGAGTACATCGGATGCCCCCAAAATGAAGCAAAATGGGTGAACCCTTCGGTTTGCGTGTGGAGCTGCAGCGGTGTCCATCTGGTGAGGGGACGCTCGTCTAAAGATGATGGACGACGCTGATGAGCCGGTCCGAATATGAGGATGAGGCGACGGATGCCCGTCTGATGATGAGGACGGCGCTGATGAGCCGGTCTGGTGATGGAACGGGCCTGAACGTTCGTCTGAAGATAAAGGACGGCGTGGGACGCTCGTCTGAAGATGAGGGACGGCGCTGATGAGCCGGTCCGAATATGAGGATGAGGCGACGGATGCCCGTTTGATGATGAGGATGACACTGTTGAGCCGGTCTGATGATGGAACGGGCCTGAACGTCCGTCTAAAGATGAAGGACGGCGTGGCACGCTCGTCTGAAGATGAGGGACGTCGACGCTAAAGTGTCGATCGTCATATGAATGCAATGGTCCCCATCCTGGAAGGGATGGAGAGCCCGCTCGCTAGCTCAAGACGTTCAACACTGGGGAAGCCGGTCTTGAGATATAGAATCATGCCAAGGCTGAGAGGCCGTTCATGATTTGAGGACGACGTAGTGATGGGCCGACCTCATATAAACGCGATGACGAGGCGATGATGAAGTTGACCGTCATATAGAGGGCATGTTTGGGCTGAAGGGGTTTACTACAATGTGTTAGCACGAGGGCTTTGCAGCCTCGGTTGTTCGGGGGTGCTGGTTGAAGCCGTCCAGTTCCCTGGAAGTAGCCGTTGGAATATGACCGTTGGAGAAGGGTTCCACGTGGCGTACATTGGTTGGCTTTCATTGGGCGGCTGTCACCGGTCTGGTGAGGCGACGGTTCGTAATGATGGGCTTTTAACTGGAGGCCCAGATCCCGACCCTAACCATGGTTGTGGAGGCTATAAATACCCCAGGCCTGATCCCATTTGACTTGTGCGATTTTATGTTGAAGCGAAGCTCTGCCAATTTTTCTAGAGAGAGAGAGAGAGAGAGAGAGTTTAGACCGATCAAACCCCTACTTTTGAGGTAAGTTCTTCCTCTGTTCTTGCTGCTACTTGCACTTTTTGCTTCCTCGTCGTTAGATCTAGTGTTAGACTAGCCCTTTAGAATTTTTCTTATCGACTTGTTCCATAAAACGATCCGAAGGATGTCTTCTGCAAGCGACTCACATGACATCTCCAGAGAGCCCTCTGTTCAATCTGACACTTGGTATGATGAAAAATCTGTCAGTGATCAGGCTTCGTCCAACAATGACTCTGCCATGGCACAGGAGGTTCATAACAACCTCAGAACCGAGGCCGAGGCCGAAGAGTTTGAGCAGGTGGTCGAGGATGAGGAGCTGACCCTCGTCATTCAGACCGCCGAGGAGGAAGAGGAGAGGGAACGACATCAGGTAACCATCGCGATCCCTTCAGCTGGTGGCAGTCATCAGTCCGATGCCCTGGGTGCCGGTGGAAACGGTAGTATGGTTCATTTGGATTGATGGCATATACCTCTCGAGGTGCCCTGGAAGCTCGTTCCACCAGACCCCTTTCCTCCGCGTAGTCTAAAATCTCGCTGATGGGATGAGTGAGGGGGTTCGAGGGCGTTTTAGGAGCGTGGGTTGTGTCCAGACCCTCAAATTGCTCTTGTAACCACCCTCGGGCTTGGCTTGGCCATGCCGGGGGTGATCTCCGAAAAGGGCTTGCGCCTTTGCTGGATGAGGCGGAACCCCCAGATTCTGGTGGTTCTTGCTATCTGGTTTGTGAGGTTGTTCAGGGTTTCGGCGATATTTGTCCACCTCCCCAGCTTTCGCGTACCTGTCTCCCCGTTGAAGGGCCCTTATGTAGTCGCGTGGTGTTTCAGTGATGAGGCTCCTTGAGAAGTTTCCGGAGCGGAGGACCGTCTGCAAGAGAGCCATCAACGTTCTGTTGTCGGCACCGTCGACTTTGTCTGTCTCTTGCCTCCAACGTTCCAAGAAATCCCGGAGGGTTTCCTTTTTCTGTTGTCTTACCGTCAATAAGTGGGAGAAATGCTTTTTCGACCGGTGCCTCTCTACGAACTGCGTCAGGAAACACTGCACGAGTTCTTGCCATGAGTCAATGCTCCCTTCGAGCAATCAGTTGAACCATTCGTACGCCGGTCCTTCCAGGGTGGAGAGAAACCAACGTCACAAATATTCATCTGAGGCCCCCATCATCATCATGCTATTCTGATACCTGATGTAGTGCTCTTGGGGGTCAGTCTTACCTTCATAGGGCTTTATGGTCTGCCCTCGGTACTTTCCAGGGATTTGAGCTGCCAATAGCCTTGGGGTGAAAGGCGTCTTCGTGCGAAGTTGGATGACAGGCTCCCCGCAGCCCTCGGCGAGCTTCCTCTACATTTCGTCCACCTTTGCCAACATGGCGACGTATTTGGGATCCGTCTGTGAGGCGGAAGCTGTTGTCTGGGCCTGACGGGCTTCCATCTCGTCGAGCCAGCGTTGAAGGGCCTCAATAATTTTGGCCCTGTGGTCCTTCGGGGATGCCTCCGCCCCGTGTGGTTGACCGCGGGCTGAGTGAGCCTGGTTGATCTGATGCCTGGCGCCATCAGCCTGTAGTGGTCTTTTGCCCTTGTCCCGAGGGGATTGTCTCTCATCCGCCCTCAAAACGGATCCTCCACTTTCCTGAGGCCTGGTGAGAATTTTGCCACCGAGGCGGTCTTGGACCGCCAGACGATCCTACCCCCCTCCGAGCCTGTCAAGATCGGAGGTATGGGGCCTATCATTGTTTGCACCGCGTTGGTCCTGGGACTGAACTTCCCGGGAAGCGGTGTCCTGAGCAACGACCCCCTCGTTGTTTCCGATTCTTGGAACCGGGCATATGAAAGGGAGCGGAGGTAGTGGAAAAGGAATGACGTTCTCCCCGATCTG